GCCCCTTCCCGCTCTGGCTCAAAACAACTCCAGGCTGGCACAAATGCTGTTGAGATGCAAGTGTTTGTGAGGTACAAAGTTTTCTAAGGTGCTAGGCATCTTCTGTACTTTCAACAGAGCCATAAAGTGCACCCAAAATGTCCCCCTCTGTCTTCCAGACCCAATATAGTGACAACTGTCTCTCTGTTTAAGGCAGCTGGATGAATTCCTGCTCTGTTGCTTGATGTAGGATGAGAGGGAGCATTCCTCTCCCTACAACAGACACTAAAGCCAGACAAAAGAGAAACTGCTTTGCTCTGATAATTCAATAGCCTGAAGTTCAAGAATATGCTTAATGGCTGCACTGCTTCCATAATTGATAGTTATTACCATAGTAGTTATAGGAACAGTGTGGTGCCACAAGGTAGGAATGGCAAGGGGAACTTTAGAGGCATGGGCGTTCACAAAACCGTTACTCAGGGAAAGTCTTTTGCAATTAATTGCTGCTGGTGCTGCACCACTGTGTAGAAATGCTCACTGAAGCAGACCCTGAGAGTCTTCCAACTCCCAGGCGAGCCTGTAACCAAGCTCAGTCTCTCTCTTGCCCAATGACCCTTTTAATTATTTACACACGGTGGAACAGATCCAAGAGAATAATGAGAAGGATCCACCCTGAATACTCAACAGCCCACTGGTTAGGAATCACCTGGGAGGTGGGAGACCCAAATTCAAGTCCCTGCTTCATGAGATTGAGTGGGAATTTGATGCTTAGGTCTCCCATGCTCTGGATAAGTGGCTACCCACTCAACATTCTAGCATTTGTGAATCTGACTCTCCCCATGCGTTGTAAAAAAAGACCCTGGGCACTAGACTAGTTCAGGATGGTGAATTCCACAAGACAGTAGGATGCCCAAGAGCTCAAGTCTCCACTGTGAACCCCCCAACCATGATACTTTGTCTCATAGCTACAGTAGTAAAGGGCATTAAAACACAGCTCGCCCACCAACATCCTGATTTTAGCATTAACTATGATGCATCATTCCATGAAAAGGGCTTCCCTACAGTAAACAAGTTAAACCCCATGTCCATATTAAATTATCTTACTGGGTCCAGCAATGCAGTCCTGACATCTTCCCCATATCGATTGCGTAGACAAGGTCCACAGAACTGACCCCGCACTCCTACGCAGTCTGGGTTACGGCAGTTTGTCTTAGTATCGATGGTTTTTTGGCGACACTGATGACAAGTAGATCCCTACAACACAAACAGGAGTTCAGGAGACAAGAAAGCCAAGACCAGTAGGGTTAATTAACAAAACAGCACATTGACAACCAACCCAATCCTTTGCATCATGGTTCAGCCCTTTGCATGAGTACTTCTTCCAAGATTTGAATAACCCAAAAGAATTATAACAAAGAGAAAGCTAGCTTAGTGTACAATCTGCATTTCGCTGATTTGCAATACATATACTTACCATCACCTGGTTATATACTTTATCTCGAGCAGTTTCACAGATATTATCCAACTCTTCCTCTGTTATTTCTTCCACTGGACGTACGACATGAGGAAGAGCCATAGCACCAGGGCGACTTCTCCTGGGAGTTCGAATTTCCTGCTGCAGAGAGTGCAAGAATTAAAATCTAAGTTTTATTTTGTGGTCATAGCATTACCGCCAGCAGAAATCCCACACGAACAAGGGCTGAGAATTTCAAAGCAGTCTAAGGGATTAAGATGTCTATCTTCACTAGAATTGGCAGACAAGTATTGAGTTAATGGGATTCAGGTCTCCAGCTTTAGTGCTAGAAACATAACAAAATAAAAATCAAATGCTAATCAATCTTTTTTTTTTTAGTTCCTGATGAAGTAGAGAAAGTGACAATTTTTCCACTGAGACAATAAAAATAAAATGGTAATTGTGCAGCGCTCCCAATTTTTCCCATCCTCCACCAGTCTCAGTGTGGACATGAATGCTAGCTAGCTCTGCACGAGCTCTAGTTCCATCAACAAACAGGCTGAGGCTACACATACCTGAATAACCATTACCGAATTATATTTTTAAAGTTTCCCCAATTAATGCTCTACCATAACAGTACAACACGTTAAACCTACCTCTAAGTATTCGTCAGACATCTTTCTTCGCCTCACTAAGCTGTACCTGTCATCTTCTTCCTCCTCTTGTAGAGGAGTAGGTGGTCCATCAATCAGGGACCTGGATCTGGTGTGAGGCCGAGAAATTCGGTCTGGGTTCCTCCTTAAAGCACTTTGGGGAAATGAGCTTCTTGGAGCCCGCTTTGGTCTCTGAAATTAAAAAAATGGGGGCAAGAGGCTTTGTTTAACTCAAAGGGAAACAAAAACAAAATAACTTTGTTTCTAGTACAAAAAACAGAATACAATTACTACACTGCAGGGTAAATTCAGCTCTGCCATTCGACAAACTATGGAAACATACAAATCCCAAGCTGCAGATGTTAGTTCCTATATAAGGAAGAAGGCAGCAATTCACCTGAGTAAATGTAAGAGTCTCGATGAGCTTAGACATTTTTGTCTGCTTTACAGAAAAGGATATATTTTCAGTAGGAAAATAATAATCAAGTAAGTAGCAATCTAATAGTACTTTTCAACATGTTTTACTTAGAAGGGCATGTTATCTTCCTCCCCATTTTATAGATAGGGAAGAGGCACAGAAAGTCATACAAGTGAGTCATTGGTAACATCCGGTGTAGCATTTAGGGATTTCGACTCCAAATTCTGTGACCCACTCATTGGGACATGCTGCCTCCTTAAGTAGATTGACACTGCAGCCCTAAAACATATAGATGGGTCTAAACCAGAAAATGTATTCAAGTACCTTCAAACTTCAGATATCAGAACTGAAGCTTAAGGTACCCACCCTTTCTTCATCCTTTGTGTAAATATGCATTTAGAAAGGGGTTTTGTTTTGTTTTATGGCTTTAGTTTGCCTTTGATATTGAGACTTCCAGGTGCCTATGACTGGATATGTTGTTCAGTTTTTACAGAACAGCAAATCAGAAAGATACTGCATGACTGGGATGATTGTTTTAACAAGTAATAAAATTCTGAACAAATGGACTTTGGTTTACTTGATCTATTAAGCTTTTTATTTGAAAGGGGTTTTGTTTTGTTTTTTTTTTAAATCAAACACTAGATTTACTCAGAAGACTGATATATAAGACAAAGAGAAATTAATTTCTACTTACTGGGCTGGTAGTTGATAACGATCTTCTGTCAGTGAAAATACCAGGGACATTTTTTAATTCAGCCATTAGTTTTGCTAGCTAGAGGGAAAACAAAAAAAATATGGTCTTAAAAAAGAGTTTGTGCTCTATTACAGGCTAATAGATTAGAGCAATTGCCTAGAAGTACAACTGCCTTATAGTAAATTCAGTTATATTCTTCGACTTCTACATCTTATCTTTATATCCTGGTGTCTGAAAGTGGGTTGAAAATTATGCTTAGACTTAATAGGCTTCCAGCCTAAACCAGAATAAGGCTTCAGAATACAAAGCTCTCTGCTGAAGAACCTATTTCAGTCCATGTATTTTCATGTGCCAGTGAATGTGCAGTATCAGGGCTCTAAATTTCTGTTAATGCATTGAGGTAACTTCCATTAATGTTAATTTATATGGGAGAAGAGAATTGCATCGAGATTAGAAATCAAGGACCAAAATGAACCGAAGAACTTCCTGCATACCTACCATTGCTTTGTTTTCCTTTATGTTTAAAGCTCTTTTCTCTAAGAATTTGGGGCCCTTTTCTTCAGAGTCAGAGTCAGAATCCAGGGCAGATGGCTGCATTTCAGAACTTCCATTAATGTTAATTTATATGGGAGAAGAGAATTGCATCGAGATTAGAAATCAAGGACCAAAATGAACCGAAGAACTTCCTGCATACCTACCATTGCTTTGTTTTCCTTTATGTTTAAAGCTCTTTTCTCTAAGAATTTGGGGCCCTTTTCTTCAGAGTCAGAGTCAGAATCCAGGGCAGATGGCTGCATTTCAGGAGGTGATAGGAAACTTCATAGCCACTTTCAGAGGAATCGAGTGTCTCTCACGTCTCCTATACTGCAATTTGTTCTCAGCACGTAAATCATTTTTCTCAGCGTCTGACTCCAATGTCTATCAAAACCCAATAATGTAGTTTATGAATGATACTGAATTGTTGTATGCTTAAGTATGATAAGCACATTTATTTAAAAGGACACCAACTTGAAATCTGGTTGTTTTTTTAAGTTTTGGGCATTACTACCCATGAAGCCCCCTGACAAATGTTGTGGTTTTACAAAGGGCTTAAATACACAAAAAGATAAAGATTAGTTTCTCTTGTAAATTTAGTTAGTAAAGTATTTCAGAGAAAAATGTAGTTTGAGTTGGTATGCTTTAAGGATCCAACCCTTCAAGTTATTCCACGTGGGTGAACAAGACCCCCACAGCAGTTCTCAGTACAGCGTCAGATCTAAGTTTGTGAACTACAAAAAATTCAATGGCTAAGAGTACAACAATAAGTAAATTGTTACTTATTCATAGAATAATTACAATCCCAACTCAAACAGCCATTCAGATCATTATGATCTCAAATCTAGTATTTCGTCAGCTTAGTATTCTCATTCTGATACTCTTCACAACTGTAGTGAGATTTACTAGTGATGGCAATTAAGACAATGATTCCATTTTTTGTTTGCTTTTCCACTTGGTAACATGACTTATCTTACTTTCACCAAAATAAAGATGCTTCTATCTAGGACTAACCTGTCTAACAGATACCCTGCTGTGGACCATTAGTACTTCTTTTTCTACCTGTCAAGGCTCAAACTGACAATCCCTATACTTTTGTATTAAGCTTGATATGTAGATCTTGCTCATCATTTTCATGCTGTTATTACTTGTCCCCACCCTTTTCTTGAGTACAAGTTCCTGCTTTGTCACTGTTAGTTCTTTGTACGATTTTTTTATTTAACTTAGATGTGTACTCCTTCCACAAGAAGAACACCTACTCTTTTCTCTGAACATCCCTTGACATTATACTCCAATACCCCATGTTACGTGCAATATGAGTACACTGCTCTTTATAATACTCAGTATTTACTCTTGGGCTATTTTTAAGCAATGAGTGTGCTATAATATTTTGTAGTTAATTAAAAAGTAGAAAAGGGGGAGTTCTACCATCTATTGCTATTTTTACATTGCCTACAAAGTGTAGAATTTCCTGTACTATTTCCTGTTATGCTACACAAGTGCCATGAAGAAGTGTCATGGTAGCTAACAGATTCCACCAAATAGCCATCTTGTCCAAATAGTTTTAGAAGAAAATACAACATGCTCATGAACAGAATATATCCATTAAGCAACGTTTCAATCTGTATTAGTTAAATTTTAAATCTGGAAAAACTGTTTTTTCTAAACTAAACAAATTTTCTCTTGCAAGATATAATTTGGTTTTCTCCACATTGCACATTTACATGGTACTTACACATTTATAGATGTGATTTAAAATTAAGGAATGCTAGCTGGCAAGTGTCCTAGAGACTGTAGCATTTCAGTAATTAGTTAAACTTTAAAAACTAAGTCAGTTTTTAAGTCAGTTAATTTGCATATCTCACCAATACATCTTGAATCTCACTTTCTGAAAAACCGCAGAACGAATCATCATCTGAGGCCTCACAAAAAATTTTAGCCAGTTCTTCTGTGATACCTGACCTAAACTTGCGTTTCTATAAAAAGAATAAAAAACACTTTTTTAAAAAAGAACCAATTTTTCATGAACTATGCAGACAGAAAATTACATTTACAAGAGCACTACAAGAGAATAGCTTTTGTAACAAAGAAAACAAAATGGTTCAGGGATTTACAAATGGTTTCAGAGCTGTTACAGCAAATCATCAGGCATGTTAGTTTAAGCGACATTTCAAAGAATAGAATAAATAGCTAATCTGCCTCCAACCAATTACTACCTAGAAGCACAAGCAAAAAGTGAAATGAAATTATAGTGCATACTGTAGATTCATAGCTACTGTATAGAAATGTAAGCAAAGCAAGACACTTTAAATCACATGAAGCATTTGGGACATTTTCAACACAGATTCAGTTCTGTTTATTCATACACTGTACTTACAGTGTTTGCAAAATTATCAGAACCAAAACTGTCACAACTGTCATCAGATGATGAGGTTTCCATGGGGATCAATTTCATATTTCGGAATGTTCTGAGGTTCTTCTTTCCTGAAAGGTTTCCTTGCTGAAAGGGGAGGATGACAATACCATTAAAATGTGAGATTTAAACTAGCTTTTTAAAGCGCGCTTATAAAGTCTTATGTGGTTGTGTTTTCAGATATGCCAGACACCTGTATCCATTCAGTACACTATCAACACTGAAAAGAGATAAGACAGTAGAGCTTAAAATTAAGTAGTGTTTCCGTTCTAATATATTTCTGGTCACCAAGTGATTTATCCTTGAGTATTATGTTTCTTCTTCTGACAAGTAGCATTTTTGAAAAATCCCACTAAAATAAATCACATCCCTTCTCAACAATGTAAAACTTGAAGGACTTTATGTGGAATCTTAAAATAAGTATCTAGAAATCACCACTTTTGTTTTAAATTTCTGAAACCAAATATTCATCAACTAATTTTTTTAAAAGCATAAAGTACCCTGGAAAGAAACAACAAAACAACTGCTTTAGGGATAATGGCTTATTATTTCATTAGTACCTTTTTTCAGCTGAAATTTGTTATCTTTTAATGGCCTTTAGAATTTATCTTTTCCTGAGAATCTCCCTTATCGTAAGTAACCTGATTCAAGGTTTTGAATTGTATACAGGGACCCAGGTATGTACCCATATTTACACACTACACAACCCAACAATTACTGCAATATGACCAGTCACTGATCTGTGTCATGCCAAGCAGAAAGAACTCTTACAGTTATTAGCAATTCATAGGTCAATCTCATTGAATCAAAAATATTTCATAAATTGGTTTAAAATTAACCAAAACAGAAGTTTATGATGTCTGCTCATATGTGATGTCTGCCTTAGGGATGTGAATGGGTAACCAGTTACCGATAAACTTCCACTCTGCAGCCTCTCCAGCACTTGCGCTGGTAGTTGGCAGCCTGGGGTGTATGGAAAGGGAGGGGGAGAGAGGCTGGGAATCAGCAGCAGATGGGGAGGACAGGCTGGAAGCCTGCCTATGGTTGGAAACCAACCCTCCACTCTCTGCGTGCCTTGAAGCCAGCAGCTGGGCAGAGCTGGCACTGACCCTGCCAGCAGCACAGCAGCTTCTCCAGTCTAGCCATTAAGGTAGGGGGCTGGAATGCCTCTCTATCTGTCTTCATTTAATCAGTTAACCCACCCCTCATTTCTGAACTTTGAAATTTGCACCAAAATATAACCCTGTTCCTCTCTTTCCTCACAATTAGACTAAGCTATTTGCTTCCACAGGGATCATGGCTACTCCTGCCAATAGAGAAGATAAGGCTATGTCCTTAGGCACACAGCTATAGCACTCATCTGAGGAAGTGGGTTTTGCTCAGAAAAGTGTACGATATATTAGTCTCTAAGGTGCTACAGAACTACTCATTTTTAAAAGCTAGAACACAGTAATGTTAACACTTGGTACAGACAGGGAAGGGAGTTTTACATCATTTTAACTAATTCTCCACAACAAAAAGTGATCAGTGGAATAATACTGTCAATCTAGCACCGTGGTGTCCAACACGGTAGCCACTAGCCATATGTGGCTATTTGGCCAGTTGAGTGTGGCTAGTTCGCTATAGCAGTAGCCACTATAGTGGCTTCAGAACTGGTTGGACACCAGGGACTAGCAGCTTCTACATTGGGATTTAAGTCAATTTAGCAACATCTCTCTCACCTTAAAGGTGGTAACTAGTCAACTAACTTTCAAGTGTACACCAGTGCTTCCCCTATCACTCTATTTATCCTCCAGACTTTTACCACAAGTAGCTACTTCGCACTTTAATCAAAACTCCATCCTTTAGAGACTCTCTTCTTTCTCAGTAAAGATAGGTTTGCAGAGAAAAAGCAAAGAGGTATCAGATCAGTACCAAATCATTTTTTAAGAGCAGCATTCCAATATAACATTCTGTGGCTCACAGCATAATCAAAGATAAGCACAGAACAGCCTCAACAGTCCCTTGTATTCCACAACAATCATAATTCCTATTCCATTAATACCCTACTCCATTTGGAAGGACGTGAGTTTCAACTGTCTCCCCAAATTTTGCCTGTAGCACCTTTTTTGCAGACCGGCCATTGGGTCCTGTTTATACAGTAAGATGGAACCCTACTGAGTGTCTACCAGGCCTCCCCAACATGATAGCTGTTGTAGTGCCACAGGAAGAAGTGAACCTGACCACATTCACTGTAAATCCTTTCCTATATGATCATCCCAGAGGGCCAGAATTTGTCTGTCAGCAATGTGGTTGATACAGGGTTACTAACCACAAGGGTACCAAGCACAGCAAGACCTGCGAGCTACACCAGTGCAAAATAAATCCAGCAGACATGGGAGATTTGTTTCTAAAGAACAAGTATCAAAGGAGGAACCCGCTAATCTGTTCGCAGAAACAACACGGGAGTCCTATGGCACACTAAAGACTAAACAGATTTATTTAGACACAAGCTTTTGCGGACAAAACCCAACGTGGTGACATGTTATCTGGAGATATCTTGCAGTCTGCGATCCCCAGGGCGTTAGCCTGGAAAGCTCTTTGCCACCCAGCCCCTGAGAAAGCCGTAGCTTTGCATAGGGACACGTCCTACTCCAACTGGGGGACTGCAGTCACCACTGTTTTGATGGAGAGTGCAAGGCCCTTGTTTGGATTTTGGAAACGTAAAAGATCCCAGGCGGGCCCTCCAGGGCAGAGATGGGCTGTGGGCCGGTAGATGCACTCGGACAGAAACAGGGAGCAGAGCCTGGCGGGAGGCAGGCAGAACAGAGCACGGCGCGGGAGCAGACGCGCTGGCCACGCGGCGGAGCTGCCTTGCCACGTTCCCCAGCAGCCGGGACAGCGGCGGCGCCGGGATGGGACAAGGGGGACACACGGGGCGTAACGCGAGTTTGGACGTGTCCAGGCGCGTCCCCGCCTGCGGGACCCCCAAGCCGGCAACCTCCACCCCGCAAACCAGGGCTTTCGCGGCGTGTTTGCACGGGACCGTGAGAAAGAGGAGGAGGAGTGGCTGGGCCAGGCGCCAAGACAAACACAGCCAAATAAGCCGCCACCCCAGCGAAAGCGCAGTCAGTGGTGCCTCCAGCCAGCCAGTCCCCGACCGCCGCTCCGCCTCCAGCGCCAAGCCTACTCCCTCCCCCTCTTTCAGAGCCTGCCGCTTTCTGCAACACCGTCCCGCTCACCCCTCTCCTCCAGAGTCTGCAGCTCACTCCCAGTCCCCCTCCCCCTCCCTTCCTCCACCTTCTTGCTGCCCCCTTCAGCCAATGAGTGTAACTCACAGCATCCCCCCCACTCCATTAGCTCCCTGCTCATTGCACCCTCTGCGTACAATTCACTGCACCCTTTGCCTCGCTCAGCCCCCTTCCTCAGGCGCGTGCAACTCACTGCACCTTCTGCTCCGCTCAGCCCCCTTCCTCAGGCGCCTGCAACTCATTGCACCTTCTGCCCCGCTCAGCCCCCTTCCTCAGGCGCCTGCAACTCATTGCACCTTCTGCCCCGCTCAGCCCCGTTCCTCTGAGGCGTGCAACTTATTGCACTCCTGCTCCCTTCCTCCAGCGCACCCCGGGGCCCCGTTGGCCACTCACTTGCATGCCGAAGGGATCCATGCTACCAGCTATAGGGCGCTCCCTTGTAGCGGCTAGTCAGGTACCCAAGTGCGATCAGCGCAGCTTGTGCTTGCTGGACTGGGAGGGTCGGGACCCGGACACTGAAGCAAGCTCGCGCCAAACCAGCTCGGGACTCTCAGGGGGGCGGAGACTGGGGGCTCCTTTCCCGCGTCGGAGCCCGAGTCCTGGAAGGTGCAGGCAACACCCCTTCAGGAGGAGACCCCCTCTTGTTGCCCCCCATGCAACAGACAGCGTGCCCCTGTGAAGAGAGTAGTACCGGGCTCCGGGGAGCGCGAAGAGGGGGTCGAAAACTCCTGTACTATTTTTTTTCCCGCCGTGGAGTTTGTGGTACTGTAAGGGCCTAATTCTGTGGCGCGAAATGCTCGCTATTGCAAAGCCGTAGTATTTGCATATGGGGAGGGGGAGGGTAGACTCATCTGCAAAGCAGTAGCCCTGGTGCACATGGCCTCCGCGTGGTTAGTTCCCAGTGCTACTGGGTGGAGGAGGGGGTCAGATGGGGAGGGACTGATCTTGCTGCTGCCCTGCACAAGGGTTTATCAGGACAAACGAGAATGTTTGGGCAGGAAACGTACAAACAGTGTAGGCACGTTTTCTGCTCCGACTATTTCATGCATGGAGAGCAGAGAGAGGATGGGAACCTGCAAGGTTATGCCCCATGCATCCTGGGCATTTAAAACGTGACTGCAGGCAATGTATAGCACAGAAATCAAAAGGCAGAACTGTCTTTTACCACATGCGGCTCTTTCGAACATAATGAGGACTTATTTAAGCTCATGAATAAATGTTTAATTATAAAAAGATGGGGGAGGGCTAGCTAATCAGAATAACTTTCAATATTTAGCATAAGCCAAAGGCTTTTTGAAGGATTGCAGTTGTTTTACACTTTCTGGAAACCCAAAATCCTCCATACAATTTGATGTAAAGTAAAAAGGTCCATTTCAGTCCTGTTGGATTTGGTGCCCTTTGCTGGTGCTGTGTCTGGGATTTTCAGCTAGAAAAGGCACTTTCACTAGATTGTACAAGTTTCAGTGAAAGCATAACAACATAAGCATAGTCATACTGGGTCATACCAAAAGCCCATCTATTCTGGAATCCTGTCTTCTGACAGCAGCCAAAGGCAGGTTCCCTAGAGGGAAAGAACAGAACAAGTAATCATCAAGTGATCCATCCTCCGTTGCCATTCTCAGCCCTGACAAAACAGAGGGTAGGGACACCATTTTGGCTCATAACCACTGAAGGACACATCTTTATCTAGTTTTTTGAACCCTGTTAAAGTCCTGGTCTTCATAACATTCTCTAGCAAGGAGTGCCACAGGTTTACTGTGCATTGTGTGAAGAAATACTTCCTTTTGTTTGTTTTAAACCTGCTGGGTATTAATTTCATATGGTGAACTCTAGTTCTTTTGATATGGGAAGGAGTAAATAACTTTTCGTTGTTTACTTTCTCCACACAAGTCATGATTTTATAGACCTCTATCACATCCCCCCTCCCTTAGTCATCTCTTTTAAAGTTGAAAAGTCCCAGTCTTATCAATCTCTCCTCATATGGTGGCCATTCCTTAACCCTAATAATTTTAGTTGCCTTTTTCTCAACCTTTTCAATTCTAATACCTTTTTTAGAGATGAGACAACCACATCTGCACAAAGTGCTCAATATGAGGTGTACCATGGATTTATAAAGAGGCAATAAGGTATTTTGTCTTATGTATCTCTTAATGATTCCCAACATTGTTTGCTTTTTTGACTGTCGTAGCGTGTTGATGTTTTCAGAGATCCATCTACAATGACTCCAAGATCTTTTTCTCCTGAGGGATAACAGCTAATTTAGACGTCATCATTTTATATGTATAGTTGGGATTATGTTTTCCAATATGCATTACTTTGCATTTATCAACATTGAATTTCATTTTGTTGCCTAGTCACCCAGTTTTTGTGAAATCCTTTTGAAGCTCTTGGAAGTTTACAGTGGATTTAACTATTTTGAGCCGTTTTGTATCGTCTGCAAATTGTGCCACCTCTCTGATTATCTCTTTCTCTAGATCATTTATGAATATGTTGAGGAGAACTGGCTCCAAACCAGACCTCTGGAGCACACGACTAATTACCTCTCTCCATTCTGAAAACTGACTATTTATTTCTACCCTTAATTTCCTATCTTTTAACTAGTTGTCAGTCCCTCTCATCCCATGATAGCGTATTTTATTTAGGAGCCTTTGGTGAGGGACTTTGTCAAAGGCTTTCTGGAAATGTAAGTACACTATCTTCTCTGGATCTCGACTGTCTACATGCTTGTTGACCCCTTATAGAATTCTAGTAGATTGGTGAAATGTGGTTTCTCTTTACCAAAATCATGACAACTCTTCCCACAAATTATGTTCATCTGTGTGTCTCACAGTTCTGTTCTTTACTATTGTTTCAACCAGTTTCCTTGGTAATGAACACACTTAGGGCACATCTAGCAGGGCTAAATCCAAAATAAGCTATGCTACTTGAGCTACGTCAATTGTATAACTTAAGTCAAACTAGCTTAATTCGGCTTTTGGCACTGTTTACACAGCAGTTAATCCAAAAAAGAGCACTCTTCCTCCAACTTCCCGTATTCCTCTTAAAATGAGGGTTACAGGAGTCGGAGTAAGAGCTCCTTTGGCTTGACATTATTTCAACATTATGCCAAAATAACTGCTTGTGTGTAGATGCAGACTGTGTTATTTCGGAATAAAGTTAGTTATTCTGAAGTAATGCTACTGTATAGATGTACCCATAGAGAAAATGTCATGAAGAAGAGTGAAGAAATACTTTTTTAAAACTCATTTTTTAAAACAGTGTATAATGCATTTTTTGAAACTCCACCAAGAGTGCAATTAGACACTCATCCTAGCCTGAGAATAAGGTAATACATCTGTTCAACTGCAATTGCAATCCGTATCTTTTTTCAGGAAGGGAATGAAATAAGGCATTTTATTTGTGTACACTGATTTAAAATAGAATAAGCGCATTAAATTAAAACATAATTTGGAGAGGAACAGAGAGAAAACAGATTTTTGCTCTTAGACTATTTTATGTAACTTTTGTAATATCACATTAAATCAAATAGTTATAAGACATAAAAAGTGCAAAATAACTTGCAGATACAGACTAACATGGCTTTCCCTTTGAGAATTGTTACTGTTGTTTGACAGTTTTAATGAGCAGAGTGGGAACTTTAAGAAATTATATACCTGATAGTTTAAAATTCAGATAACGCAAAGTGGAAAATTAATATATTGTCTGTTTTCTGTAATATTTCATTTACAATCACCAAGCTAATGCACACTGATGCAACTGTACTCAAGGCTGAAAATTCCCATTTATATCAGTAGCGCAGAATTGCGCCCTGCTGCACGTTTGCTGCACACACATAAACCTGATACTGTGTAATTGAGCCAAGAATGAGCTGTAAGTCAGACATCACAAATAGGCCATAACACAATAGAATACAACAACTCTGAAGTAGTAGTTATACTTTTTGGTCATGATTCCTTTTGAGCAGGCAGCAATCTGTCAAATAAAAGAATCTCCATTTTAAATAAACCCTTAATTATGTACTTACCTACACCACTGGCTTCACAGACTGTACAAAAGTATATGAACTAAAACAGTCCTCCGGAGACCAGACCACACACTTAATTTTCCTAAATCCGTATTAGTTGAGGGTTGCCACCCAGAGAGTTCTCAACCAGCATAGTGCAGTTTGGTTTTTTAAACTTCCAGAAAAACTACAAAATGCAAGGTTATATATATGGAAAAATATTAAAGAAAAGGTTCCCCCAATAACAAGGCTCACTATCATTTTGAATCATGAAGATCATAAGTTGCCATTAGAAAAATGACAGATCTGTATAAGGCAATTGTACTAGCTGCATACCAAATCTAATTAAGGAATGATTACTAGCTGGCTCTATGGATGAGATTGCAGCAAATCTTCTTTTTCCAAGTGAATTTTTTGTATTTTTAAAATTGTCAGATTGGCTTGAAAATTAGTATGCCAGATTCAGGGCCTAGTTAGAGTTTGTGGGTACATTTTGAAGCTATTTAATTAGAGGTTTTCTGAGAAATTTTTAAAAATTGTTAAGAAAAATGGAACTGTTCTCAAAAAGTTACATACATTATGAAACACTTTTTTCTGCAGGGATTTGGAACATCAGAGGAGAGAAGAAGTGGAAGCCTGTACCGCTTTTATAATGGTATTCCCCAACATAATATCTGGTGCATGATATCAAAACAAGATGTAAAACTTAATATATACATACAGTAGACTCTCAGAATTGAGGGATTAAACTGACCGGACAAATTACAAACTGACCGGACAACCACGCACCTCATTTGAAACAGAAAGTACGCAATCAGGCAGCAGCAGAGCCAAAAAGAAATCAGTGCTGTGCTGTGTAAACTGTAAACTACTAAAAATAAAGAGAAAGTTTTAAAAAGATTTGACAAGGTAAACTGTTTCTGTGCTTGTTTCATTTAAATTAAGATGGTTAAAAGCAACATTTTTCTTATGCATAGCAAAGTTTCAGTGTTGCACAGGAATCACTATTCACAGTTCCATGTATTTGCCAGGGTTTTTTGTAGCCCCAGCCTGAGGGAGGGAGACTGGGAGCTGCGGGGAACTCACCACAGCTGTTCCCCGCAGCTGCAGTGAGTTCCCTGCCGCCCCTAAGCCCCACAGTGAGTTCAGGAGCAGCGGGAAGCTAACCACAGGGGCTGGGAGCTGTAGCGAATGGCAAGGGTTTCCTGTATTAAGTCAATATTCAATTGTAATTTTCTGAAATACAAACTTTGATATTTTTCTCAGAGTTACAATCATTTTTGAGTTACAAATAGCCTCTGTTCCCAAGAGGTTCTTAACTTGGAGGTTTTACTGCAGTATATATCACCTGTATAAAGGCGAGTTCTTGTGCAAGAACACTGATGTTCTAATGTATGAAATCAGTGCTTCTCACGCAGATACTCTGATGCTCCTGCTCAGGAATAAGCCCTCTTGTGCAACTGTTCTTGCGCAAGAGGCCAGTGTAGGCAGGCAACATCAATTTCTTGCGCAAGAAAGCCCGATGTTTAAAATGGCCATCGGAGCTTTCTTGTGTAAGAGAGCGTCTACACTGGCACGGATGCTTTTGCGCAAAAGCAAATCTTTTGCACAAAGGCACATGCCAGTATAGATGCTGTCTTGCGCAAATACTTTTAACGGAAAAACTTTTCCATTAAAAGTATTTGCGCAAAATCATGCCAGTCTAGACGCAGCCTAATAGCTTAGTTTGGGAACTACACTGTAGAGGCAATCACTGAATGGATTGCAAGAATAGTTCACTGTCACAGACCTCAGTTAACCCTAATTAAGGAGTACAGGGAATTGATAGGACCCGAACAAGGTGGTGCCTGACTGCCACAAGTGTATTTTGGAACACAACTTTACATAGACTTCCAAAATTCATGGCAGCAACGTGAGCTTAACAAGAGGTTTGATAAAGAAACCATCCAGCAAAGTAAATTACCATATGTTCTACAGACTAGAGTCACCCACAGCAGATGGGGACATGTTGGGCCAATTTCTGTTTCACAACAGTCCCTTTATGACCATATAGCTAGCATCTTAAAGAGGCAGAAACAAGACTCCTGAGGTATATCTCCTGTATAAAGGGACTCTCAGTGGCTCTGTGGTGGGGCTCTCAGGGCAGGAAGCAGGGCATAAGACAAAAGGTCACTCCAGGAGCAGGGCATGGGGAGAGTATGAGGCCAAGACAGTGCATGCTTTAGCTGACCTCTGAGACTACAGTACAGTAATTGATACGGGGAACCATGTCAGCATTGCAAATTGTTCCAGAATACAGGAAGTGCAAAGGTGGCATAGAGCACTTAGCCCTCATCCGCACCCTCTTGTTGCTGTGCATAGCACGTGGATAGACTAATTGACACTCAAGGCAAGTGTTTCAAGGAAAAGAGGAATGTAGCAGAACAGGAACCGGTTGAAGTGTATTTTTATACTGATCAATAGCTATATTCAGCTACTCTGCATTAGAGAAAATTCCCAATTATTTCATGGATTATCCCATTTGTGGACACTGACACATTTTAGCCTCAAACATCTGTGGAGACAACTTAATTATCTGCTGATTGCTACCCTTTATATATGTAATACAAAGTTGATTTGCTCAGCCCCATGATAAGCTGTGTGGAATGCACAATTCAAATTCAGGATCTTAAAATCCTCAGACTGTCTATGTGTTCACCACATACAGTGAATATCAGAGCAAAAAGTTACTCATCCTCACAAATGCTCCATTCTCCATCTGTAAGCTTTTTTTTTAGAATCATATCATCCCTGCCTCTTACCCTCTACCAAATCTATTTTAAACAGCTTGGAAGGATTTATGAGCAAAAAAGTGTGTATTTTCCAGGGGTGTTAGCTCCATTAAGTTAATTTCACTTAAAGCCATCTTAACATTTGTGGAGACCAAGGTAACATGTTTGAAGCCAGGTAAGCAGGCCATATTAGTCAGCGAGGAGCCCTATGATACATTGACATTTAATATAGCTTTGGGTATACCAGCATGCATCTCAGTGAATGTTGAAGATTTTTCAGTCAATTAAAATAACTTGACTGAGCTAACACAAATAAAATATAATCCTTTTTTGCTCATCAATCCAAGGCCTAAATTTCTTACCCTGGAACATATAGGCTGTGTCTAGACTACAAAGTTCTTCTGGAAAAAGATACGCAAATTGTGAAGCACAATTTGCGTATCTTTTTCCGCTTTTCTTCCAAAAGAGGCTTTTCCGACAATTGGCCCATCTACGCTAAGCCAAATGTCAGGAAAAAAGCGTCTTTCGGAACATCCCTTCTTCCTCATAGAACGAGGTTTATGGGGATGCCGAAGAAATGCATCTGCTTTTCCGAAATTGGTTTCAGAAAAGCATACACATTCCTTGGATGCGGCAGAGCTCTGGTATCCCGGAAAAACTCTGTAGTCTAGACGTACCTATAATTCCCCTCTGCTTCTGCACCCACTCCATACTAGTTCCCTGACTCCAAAGTAGACAGACAGGCAAAATCACTTCTTCCACTGGCATCGTAAAACTCCAAAAACAAATCGGCTGCATCTAGACTTGCCAGCTGTCTACACTGGCCGCTTGAATTTCCGCAAGAACACTGACGATCTCATGTAAGATTGTCAGTATTCTTGCAGAAATACTATGCTGCTCCCATTTGGGCAAAAGCCCTCTTGCGCAAATACTTTTGCGCAAGAGGGCCAGTGTAGACAACGCGGTATTGTTTTGCGCAAAAAAGCCCTGATCGCAAAAATGGCAATCAGGGCTTTCTTGCGCAAAACCGCGTCTAGATTGGCACGGACGCTTTTCCGCAAAAAGTGCTTTTGTGGAAAAGTGTCTGTGCCAATCTAGACGCTCTTTTCTGCAAATGCTTAATGGAAAAACTTTTCCGTTAAAAGCAGTTGCGGAAAATCATGCCAGTCTAGACGTAGCCATCCAGACTATGATTGTAGTGAAGCTTGTCAAGTGTTTTCAGGAATGGGAGCAACATTTTCAGATCTCTATGCTTCTTGAAATGATTTTTTTTTAAATATATGAACGTAGCAGTTGAGGAGTCTGTTAAGAGGCATGAGCTGGCTTACACTGAAGTCATCAAAGGACATATGAAGGGTAGTTATCTCAGAAGGAGCAGTACCCCGTCAAAAGCAAAATGTGCTCCAAACAGTGATCAGCCGCTGCTTTTTTCTACTGCAGAAGCTGTTGTAGCACAACCCCTGCTAAAAAGTTGCATTCCATAATATTGTTTCATCTTGCTGCAACTGCTGGTGTTTCAAGTACGTACTTGTTAGAAGTACATCCAACATTGGTAGTATGGCTGAAACAACTAAGTTATTATCCTGGCATCACATTTTGCATTGGCCTACAAGAATCAAAGATGTTTCCCTATTAGTAGCTTCAGACATACAGCCTCACCAACAACAGCACCATTCTCAGAAACAATAAATCCAACCTTTAGTCTCTGTGAGGCCAGCCAGAAGGAGATTGGTCCCCTAAATTAATGCAGCAGGCTTCAGCTGCCCGGAGTTTTACAAAGCTTCTCATACACAGCTGTGCAGTTTTCTGAGAGCTTAACAGGCTTGTCATACAGAAAATGCTAACCAGCAGGTAATGATAGTGTGAAACCCATTCCTAGCTCTGCTACAGACTTCCTGAATGATCTTGGACAAGCCACCTAATCTCTGTGGCTACGTCTACATTGGCAAGATTTTGCGCAAATACTTTTAATGCAAGAATTTTTGCGTTAAAGTATTTGCGCAAGAGAGCGTCTACACTGGCATGTGCTTTTGCGCGAGAGATGTGCTTTTGCGCAAAAGCATCTATGCCAGTGTAGACACTCTCTTGCGCAAGAAAGCTCCGATGGCCATTTTAGCCATCGGGATTTCTTGCGCAAGAAATTCACGTTGCCTGTCTACACTGGCCTCTTGCGCAAGAACAGTTGCTCAAGAGGGCTTTTTCCTGAGCGGGAGCATCGTAGTTCTTGCGCAAGAAGCACTGATTTCACACATTAGAACGTCAGTGTTCTTGCGCAAGAACTCGCGCCAGTGTAGACAGGCAGCATGTTTTTGTGCAAAAGCGGGTGCTTTTGCATAAAATCATGCCAATGTAGACACAGCCTGTGTGTTTCAGTTCATTGACTATAAAATTAGGACTAATACTACATTACCGTAGTGCTGGGAACCATAGACATGGATCAATGGAAGTGATGAGTTTAGGATTCTCAGACTCACAGTGGTATTTAGCTATTGCACAGAGAAATCGGCCCAATATATTGGATCCTTAGAAACTAATAAGATTGCAATAGCTAATTGCCCTAATTAAAAATTACTTTAAGAGCTGCCCAATCACCTCTTCCTCTCAGTAAATTATAGAGTATTATTACAATTCTTATTAGTGCATTGAAATGAGTCAGGAATTACTATGCATTCAGTAATCAAACCCTGATTTACATGGAACTCAATAACTTATGACACTTTTTTCCTTCCTCTAGTGTGTATGTGTAATTCCACCTTCTACTGGACTGATGTCAGATCTGCTCAGGCGTGTGTGTTTATGACACCTTCCGTGCTTAATGTTGCTGCACAAGATGTAGGATTAACCTCAATAAACTGACATTGATCCTAGCAAAACAACAACCTCACAACTGATTCACAGATTTGTACCAGCAATATTTTAGAACTTTACATATAAACACAAATGTATAGGATACAATATATAAAACAAAGCAAATGGGAATATAAACATTTTCAAGAGTGTTTTATTATTTATTGGCGAAAGCTAGGATAGCTAACATTTGCTATACCAGCTCAGCAATGCACCACACAGCAAGCAATGTGATTAGTATCTCTTGTACATAGTTTATTTCCTTTTCCCTCTTCTCCTCCTCTC